TGCATGAGTCTTCTCAGGGTGCTCCAATGTCCTTCCACAGTCTAAAGATTTGCAGACTAGGTGGATTGGCTGTGCTAAATTGCCCATAGTGTCCAGAAATGTGCAGGTTAGAGTGGATTAGCCATGGGAAATGCAGGATTACAGTGTTCAGGTAGGGGTTTGGGTTTGGGTTTGGATGGGATGCTCCTCTTCCAAGGGTCAGGTGGACTCGATGTGCCAAATGGCCTGCTTCCACACTCTAGAGATTGTATGTGCAACTGATGCTTTACCATGCGTGATGTTGGAGAAGTGTGAGTTGTGTTCTGGTATGTTAACAAATATACCGTCGCACGTGAGAACACCACCTACCACATACATGGCAGATACTCATGTGACTTGGCCAATGTTGTCTACCTCATACACTGCAGGCAAGGATGCCCCAAAGCATGGTATGTTGGCAAGACCATGCAGATGCAATGACAATGGATGAATGGACACTGTGCAACAATCATCAGACAGGGATTTTCCCTCTCTTCGAGGAACACTTCAAAGGTCAAGGGCATTCAGCCTCCGATCTTCACAAAAGTGTCCTCTGAGGCAGACTTCAGGATACACAACAATGCAGAATCACTGAGCAGAGACTGATAGCCAAGTTCTATACCTACGAAGACAGCTTCAACTGTGATCTTGGGTTCGTGTTGCAGCACAGGTGACCCAGCCATACTTCTGTACCTGTAAAGTCTTCCTTACTGTCCTGTTTTGACAGCATCACCTTTCTCTCTCTCTCTCACACACACACACACACACACATACACACACGCACATATATATACATATAAATCTGTGGGGTGAATCATTTCATCCAAGATGTTTGCCCATTTGCAAGTACATTCTATTTTGTTCAAAAAACACAATTTGTAGTTACAGTCAGTCAGCTTTTCATAAATTCCTGCTTTTGGAATAAAACCAACCTGATTCCAAGTTAAAACTCAGAGACAAATTCTGAACAAGGTCTCATATCTACAATTCAGTGTCTGACCTGAATGTCACCTTTTAGTATCTCTGCCTGATTGAAGTTTGGAAAGTTAGGCAGATGCTGATAAAATCTTTAATTATCTCGGGGCAATGTCTTGAAACAGATTCTGGAATTTGCATCTTAATCAATTGAAACTTGCGTCTCCTTTCTAACAGAGTTCCCCATCAGCCATTTTATGTTTGTTCATTCCACTCACACCAGTTGTACGATCCTTTGATCTCTCTGCCCATAAACTCTGTGTCTGTGTGCTCTCCTCTCACTGCACCTGACGAAGGAGCGGTGCTCCAAAAGCTTGTGATCTCACATAAACCCGTTGGACTATAACCTGGTGTCGTGTGATTTTTAACAAAAATTGGATGAGTTTTGGATAGTGATCCTGATCCTTTCGGGAATGCTTCGTTGTCTGAGCGAACCTTTCTGCCAAGCTATTTGTATGGCTGATCCAGGATTGGGCCAAAGCTGTAATGGAGTGTAGGTGTATCAAGTTGGATCAAAACTAATGAAAATATTTCAAGTGGTATAATCAAACTTTCTTATTCCCACTAGTTTCCGCAAAAAATGTAGAATTGCAACAAAAAAATGATCTTTTGTTCATGATCTTTATAACTCCTCTGACCAACAGATGTCACTCCTTGAGACACTCCAATTATTTCTTTCTACTTCTCAATGTGAAACAATCTAGCAACTGGTGACTCGTGTCAACCCTCTTTATTTTGGAAATGTCTTTTCTTTCTAACTTTTTCTTTATGCCAGCAAAACTTTGCTCAGTAATGGCCTTTGTCAAACATACATTGTCTCAAAGAGGACAGTTATCCACATAACATTCGATGCAAACATTTGTCAGATTTCCCTTCTACAGGATTCCATTTAGAATATTGGATAAATGCAACCCTACATCCATGGCTTCTATATTCTACATATCTTATAGCCTATAGCTTATAGGCAATGTTTCCGCAGCCAAGGCTAACTGTAACTGCCCCTTTTTATTTTCTTCACTTCCCAGGCCAACAGTTATTACTCTTTCCCACTAAAAAGATGAAGACCCCTGCCCTACATAAATAGGCACCTGGAAGATTGGCAACATGAGGTATTGCTAAAGAGAACCAATTCATTTCTTCTCTGTCATCTAAGACTGAAAACTGCACTGTACAGCTTTCTGCATTTAATCTCTTCATTGTTTTATTTGCCCTCGAGACTTCCTTAGAGGCAGGTTTCATCACAGCATTCAGTTACAATAAAGTCATTGGGTCTAGTCTCAACATGCAACCAGTTTAACTGACAAATCAAAATTCTTAACTAGTCTGCTTCTTTTTTGGATGTAAAACCATCTTTCTGGGAAAACTGGCCTGATCTACCAGGATGTGATTAACACTTTCCAAGGAAGACTGTTGATCCAAAGTCTTGAAAAACTCAGATCAACTATCAATCATGATGGCCAATCTGTTTGGTCAAGATACTGCATTTAGAAAGATAATAAGATAGTGTTCCATTAACATATGTCATTTCATTTCTCCGACCTAGCACTGCACTGTTATGCTGGTCCTCAGGATACCCAGGATTACAGCTTTTAGGTGTGTGTTGTGAAGGGAGCTGTCCATGTTATGCTTGGTCATTCTTGTCCTTAGAAGAATGCAGCTTGCTGTAGGTTTTACTGAAAATAACTTGGAAGTTAATTTCTCATTTCACCTTATATAGTTTAGCCCTGATTCATTCACAAGCAATTGCCAAGTTTTTGCTGTGATATCAGTGGAACAGTGCTCTCTGATTTAAGCTAATGCAATTCATTTTTGGAAAGACAGAACTAACTGAGAAAAACCAGAGACTCACTGCATCATTCAAATAATAAACACAATGGTTAAGTTTCCCTTCACCTTGCAAAAGTGTGGCTTTTATGTTAATGGACTGACCTTCCCAGGAATATATTGCGAAAGGAGGTGGAAAGTGTTTTATTTATTCACTTGTAGGACGTGGGCATCACTAGCTGGGCCAGCATTTATTACCTGCACCAGTTCCCCTTGAGAAGGTGGGGGTGAGCTGACTTCTTGACCCACTGTAGTCCACCTGCTGTGGGTTGACCCACAATGCCATTAAGAAGGGAATGCCAGAATTTTGACCCAGTGACAGTGATGGGATGGCGATATATTTCCAAGTCAGGATGGCAAGTGGCTTGGAGGGGAACTTGAAGATAGCGCTGTTCCCATGTGATAGCAAGAACTGCAGATGCTGGAATCAGAGACAACACAGTGTGGAGCAGCAAAGAGTTTGCCCCCCTGATTCCCATTTATTCCATTTTTGCTAGGGCTCCTTGATGCCGCACTTGGTCAAATGCAGCCATGGTGTCAAGGACTGTCACCCTCCTCTCACCTTACCTCCCAACTGCACTGTGGATGTTCCTACATCCCAAGGCCTGCAATTGTTCAAGAAGGCAGCTGACTACCACTTTCACCAGGACAAATAAGGATCAATATGCATTAACACACTTGCCTTCATTGCTCAGACCATTGAGTATAGGGGTTGGGACGTCATGTTGAGGTTGCACAGGATGTTAGTGAGGTTACTTTTGGAATACTGTGTACGTTTCAGGTCTCCCTGCTATAGGAAGGGTATTATTAAATTGGAAAGGGCTCAGAAAAGATTTACCTGGATGTTGCCAGGACTGAAGGGTTTGAGTTATACATAGAGGCTGGGATACTTTTCCCTGGAGCATCGGAGATTGAGGGTTGACTTTATAGAGGTTTATAAAATCATGAGAGACACAGATAAGGTGAAGAGCAAAGGTCTTTTCCCTACGGTGGGGTAGTTCAAAACTAGGGGGGCATATTTTTAAGGTGAGAGGAGAAAGATCTAAAAGGGACCTGGGGGGACAGCTTTTTCACGCAGAAGGTGGTTCGAATGTGGAATGAACTGCCAGAGGAAGGGTAGATGCAGGTACAGTTACAACAATTAAAAGACAAGTTGGAAATCAGCAAAATCGGTGCTGTTTCCCCAGCTGGGTCTGGCCTATAAGGTATCATGTGGGTTGCCAATTGTCCAAACCAATCTCCAGGAATGAGATAACAAGGTGTAGAGCTGGATGAACGCAGCAGGCCAAGCAGCATCACAAATAGAATGGGTCTAGGCCCGAAATGTCAGCCTTCCTGCTCCTCTGATGCTGCTTGGCCTGCTGTGTTCATCCAGCTCTACACCTTGTTATCTCAGATTCTCCAGCATCTGCAGTTCCTACTATCTCTAGGAGTGAGATTCACTTCTTGGACATGACTTCAGTCAATTCGAGGGCCATAAAGAATAATTGTCACTTTTTCTTACTCCCTTGAATATCTTCATTCGTGATTCAAAGATCAGAGATGGTGGGATGGTCATGGTTGGTCTCAACAGGTCAATTACAGGTAGGGATTTCAGGTGACGAAATCTGCAGAAATATGTCCTCTCGTAACTGACAAGGCTCAGTCACCAGGGATGTGCTGTCAAACCACAAAGTGCAGGCAGCCAATAGTTTAGTTGGTGCTAATGCTGGCTGTGATTAGCTGCAGAATCAGCATATTCCACACTCACAGAAAAGAGAAAGGTTTGGAGATCTGACAGAGGCATTCAAAATCAGGAGCGGTCTGGACTAAGTAAACAGGGAGATGTTTGTAAAGGACAGGGTACAGATTTAAAGTGAAGCAAATGTCAGTTGAGATAACATTTCGTCATTCAGCGAGTAGTTAGAATGCACTGCCTGGAAACATGGTGGAGGCAGGTTCAAATGAGTCTTCAAGAGGGTATTGAAAGATTATTGAATAGAAATAATGTGCAGGGATATGGGGAAAAGGCAGGAGGTTAGCATGAAGGCAAAATGCCCAGAGAGCTGGTGAAAACACAGTGGGCAGAATGGTCTCCTATTGCATCCTAACCTTCTCTAATTCTGTGATTGTCAAAATCCAGGCAGCCAATAGACAATAGGTACAAGAAAAAAACAGGAAGAAGTTTTTGTTTATCTTCTACGAGTAGTTTATTGAGACACAATTTCCTACAGTGTTACATTGAATTAAGAGCTCATCAGTAAAAGGATAGAGTAGTTTTGAATTAATAACGTATCATTAGGATAGTTCCTGTGATAAGGTTGAGTATAGATGCCACAAATTAATTGTAATCTTGATTTAGGACTTGCTACAAAGACACTCCAAAACTTGAAACAAGGTTTGCTATTGTCCTGGAGATGGATAGCCAAAAGAAATCAGCTTACCTGACCGTGGAATTGCAACTCAGTAAAATTCATATACTGAAGTGACCCTCAAAATTAACTCCAATGGCTCCTAATCATACTTTTTAAATAACTGGTCCCAGACTTTGTGATTAACTAATACTAGACACCAGGTTTATAGCATATATAAAATACTTAACAATTTATTAATAATACAGTAGCTTGAGCAGAGCAAAGTTAGACAAGATAATCTAATTAATGTTTATGATATAAACCCAATCTTCTTTGATTTTAGACCCCACTCTCACACAAAGCTAGACAGACTAACAGACAAAGTTAAAGGATAAATCAAAATAAAAAAATGAGATGTAAATATCAAATTCACTTAAGCAGATTCCACAATTTATAATCTCACAGGCACATGGGATTGTATCTTTCTTGGCCTCTGAAGACGCTGATTCATGCAAATAGCATCCAGTAAGCTCTAAGGAATATTCACTTAATTCTTATATCTGAGATTCCATTCTCTGAACTTTCAATAACATGGTAATGGGAGGATAACCAGGGAGCAACCAAACCTTCATCCTGCAGCTTACACAGCCTCAATCGTTATCATAAACAGTTCAAAAACCAATTCAAACTTTGGTTCTCTTTCTTAAACAGGTTGCCCCACTGAGAGGCCCTAGTTAACATTCAACGCCTATCATCTTTCTGAGTATAATGTATCCCTAGAACTGAAACAGCTGCGGTGTTCTTTGAACAAGAATCAACCTGCAATTAAATTATCATCCAGGCCTGGCCTCATAAACACATACCAGCTTGTTCTCCATTTTATTTTAAAATAAGCTGCTGCTCACAGTCTAAAGGTCACCTTCAGTTCTCAGCTCATCACTCACAGCTCCAAGCCAAAAATGAACAAAAAGTAACAAACAAAATAATGAAAGATCAGGTAAGGTGCTATAAGTTAGTGATCTGTTTTAGCTGCTCATACGCTGGATGAAGTTCCTGCAGAATAGTTTGACATCATTTAGCTGATGATTTGAGCACGGAACTGCTAATAATCCAGGCAGCTTCTATTTTCATATGCGATCTTTCCTTTGGTAATGACATACTTGATTAGATCCTGATGACCTCCAAACTGATAAATCAAGTGCTCCCACCTTAAAAACAAAAGACAGGGATTTACTTTGACAATGTATGAATCACATTGCAGCTTTCAAAAGAATCTTAATTACAGCTTTAATTTGGAAACATCAACTGCATTTGCAGATGTTGAAGCAAAGTGTAAAAAAGAAAACAGCACCTAGATCAAAAAAGGAAGATGTAACAATTAACAGATAAAACATAATGAAAATATTGCTCTGCCCTAAAGGAGCAAAAATAACAAGCTACGTTTATTCGTATTTTGTAGATTTTGTAACTCTTATAAAGAAAGACTTGCACTTATATACCACCTTATATAACTACAAATCATCCGAATGCATTTTCCAGCAAAGGAAATGCTTTGAACATAACTCATTGCTGTAAAATGGGAAACACGACACCCCATCAACACCAGCATGAGAATGACCAGAGAATCTGTTTTTTCTCGTGCCGACTGAGGGATAAATATGAGTGAGGTCACCTGTCTTAACACTCCTCTTCTTCTTCTGAGTAGTGCCAGGGTACATCCACCTAAGGGGGTGGATAAGTCCCTGGTTAAAGTGTCATCTGAAGTAATCCCCAAGAACTGCACTGAAGTGCCAGCCTTGATTTTTTGATCATCGAAACTGGGACTTGAACCCACAACCGTCTCAATTCATCAGAAGCAGGAGTGCTCCCCACTGAGGCATTGGTTCATTCTCCTGGACTATTGGTAGCTGCTGATGTTTGTCAGCTACTCCTGCAGGAGATATGCAGTCATTATATGCCACACTTGTATCATCTTCATATATCCACAATGGTCTGTCTGTACCTGCTCTGCAACATCTGTCATCCAAGTGCATCTAGTGTTTAAAAAATGCATTCATGAGATGTGGGAGTCGCTGGCTGGGCCAGTATTTATTGCCCGTCTGTAATTACCTTTGAGAGGGTGGTGGTGGGCTGTCTTCTTCACTGCTGCAGTCCATATATTGGGGGCAAACCCACAATACTGTTATAAATGTGAGGTCTTTGAGCTTTCGCTCAATGGTAACCCCCAGGACGTTGATAGTGGGGGAATTCAGTGATCGGATCACCATTGAATGTCAAGGGATAGTGGTTAGATTGTCTTTTATTAGAGATGGTCATTACCTGGTATTTGTGTGGTGTGAATGTTACTTGCTACTTGTCAGCCCAAGCCTGGATATTGTCCAGATCTTGTTGCATTTGAACATGGACTGCTTCAGTATCTGAGGAGTCGTGAACGATGCTGAACAGTGTGCAATTATCAGTAAACATCTCCACTTCTGACCTAATGATGGGGGGAAAGTCATTGATGAAGCAGCTGAAGATGGTTGGACATAGGACACTATCCTGAGGAACTGCTGCAGAGATGTCCCAGAGCTCAGATGACCACAATCTTCTTCCTATGTGTCAAGTATGACTATAACCAGCAGAGAGTTTTTCCCCAATTGACCCCTCTCTCCTCTTTCTTTACATTGTCCTTGAGAAGAGATCATGGATAATGAGTAACTAACCTGCTCATCAGTCTGTAAACAAGATTATGGAATGGGCCTTTGTATAAAGAGCAATTTTTCAAGTGGTTTGAGATAATAGGAGAGATCAACACTTTACTTCAGTGTGAATGAAGCTATTAATTCCTGTAATTCTTATAAATTGGGCTCTGACAGCAAGAGTGGGACTTGAACCCACAATCTCCTGATTCAAACTGGATCGTGCCAGCCACTGAGCCACAGTCAAAATTACGGACTTGCCATCAGTGACTTGAATCCCAGTCTCCCACATCACAAGCTGGGCACTAACCATTACACACACACAGGGCAAAGACATAATCCCGAGCTTTCCATTTTAAATCTGGATTATCCAATAATTTAAACAATTGAAGTATCAGCAAGAGCAACTTTTATTTATATAGCACCTATAACTTAAGGAAACTCCACAAGGCATAACATGAGAGTGATTTTAAAGCAGAATCTGACGTAAAATCATGTAAGGTTCCACCAGAGTAGTTGACCAATGGTTTGGATGGGTTTAAATGAGGAAACAACTGCAGAAAGGCAGAGGGGATTAGAGACAGAATTAGAGAACTTTGACACCGAAATGGAAATTTAGGATGAAGATAATAACACTACAATCAAAGACCTTCCCTCCATCATAAGGTCAGAAGTGGGGTTGTTTGCTGATGATTGCACAATGTTCAGCACCATTCACAACTCCTCAGATATTGAAGCATTTCATGTTCAAATGTAACAAGATCTGGACAATGTCCAGGCTTGGGCCAATATCTGAGCCGTATAAGACACTTGTTAGACCTCAGCTGGAGTGTGGTGTACAGTTGTTAGCCCTGCATTAGAGGAAATTATGAACGTATTGGAGTGTGTGCAGTGCGATTTACAAGAATGGTTCTAGAAATGAGAAACCTCAGTTTGACGATAGATTGAAGAAGTTTGGTCTATTCTCCTTGGAGAGAAAAGAGTTGAGAGGAGATTTGATAGAGGCTTTCAAAATCATGAGTGGGCTGGACAGAGTAGGTTGTCAAATGAACAAGAGCGAGAGGGCATAGATTTAAAGTGATGTGCAAAAGAAGCAAGGTGATATGAGATTTTAAAAAAAACCCTTCACTCAGTAGGTAGTTAGTGAATAGAATGCACTGCCTGGAAATGTGGTGGTGGCAGGTTTAATTGAGGCATTCAAGATGACATTGGCTAATTACTGGGATAGAAGTGGTGTGCAGGGATGGGGGTGGGGGGAAAGCAGACTGGCATTCAGTAACGATGCTCAGTTGAAAAGCTAGTGTTGCGCTATGAGCTGAATGACCTCCTTCTGTACTGTAACAATTCTGTCATTCTCGCAGATCATTTATATGAAGTCGTTCTTCAATTCGGAGGAGTTCCTCTACTTCTCTAAATTCCAGCAACAAATGTTCAGCAAACTGTACTCTGAAATTGTTAAAGATTTGTAGAATAGAAGCTTAAGTTTCAAAGTCCATTTCAGTAGAGGGGTAATAAAGAGCAGTTCCAGTTGAAATGTGAAGACAATGAGAATTAGCTCTAAAAGTGAGAAATCTTACATTTCCCTTTAACAGAGAGTTCAATTTCTCGTCACTCTTTTCATTGTAATTGCAGCAAACCTTTCATTAACCGGCACCTACTGGACTAGGTAGTGTGGCCGTTGAACAATATTCCGGATAATCAAGAGGACATACACACTAAGTGCTAGAAACGTAATGCCGGGGTAACCACATCACTGTTACTTGAATAATTATGCAACTTTGCCTTGAATATAACTTACTGCCAAAGAACGTTTACACTTACACCTTCAACTATTTAAAAGACAAATTGACGGGTAATTTCCGGTTTATCGAGAGGACATGTTAACAAGATGCCGGTTAAACAAAGTTTGCTGTATGCTGTTACCAGCCAGCTCTTCTGGATGAGCGAAATTTCAGTACATGACATACCTTGGTGCGTTAATGATGAGGAGATCTCCTTGCTTCCCTACCTCCAATGAGCCATAAGAGTGGGATTTTCCCAGGGCATAAGCAGCATTGATAGTGGCAGCTGCCAGGCTCTCATTCATCGACATCTTCATGTTTACACATGCCAGGTGCATGGTCATTGGCTACCGGGGAAATTACGACATGTGTAACCAGCAGAAATTAAAGAAGCGAAATTATCAATGAACGATCCATGAAATGCACAAGGTTCCACCTATCTTCTCCTTTATCCATCTTCTATCTGCCTCCCCCCTCTCCCTATTTATTTCAGAAACCCCTTCCCCTCCCCCATTTCTGAAGGAGAGTCCAGACCCGAAACGTCAGCTTTCCTGCTCCTCTGATGCTGCTTGGCCTGCTGTGTTCATCTAGCTCTACACCTTGTTATCCCACTCTCCTTACTGCTGTGAATTTCCCTGAAACGATACACTGACCTGAAAGTGGCTAACACAACCACTGGAAATCACAGCTAAGCCTGTGTAGGTTTGAAACACAGATTGCTGCTCCAGGAGTGGATAGGAAGAATTTGTGACAATGAATTGCAAATCCGAGACTTTTTTAGCCTTTTAATTCCAAACCGTGTACGACTGCTACAACCTCATCCAAAAGTCAGAAATCTCAAAATGTTGCAAAGAGATTACAGGTGGAAACTGAGTATGATGAAACGGATCATGTAGCATAGGAGTTCATAGAATTCCTACAGTACGTGAGCCAGCCATTCAGCCCATCGAGTCCACATCAATCCTGTGGAAAGCATCCCATGCAGACACACCCTCCCATCCCATCCCTGTAACCCTACATTTCCCATGGCCAATCCATCCAGCCAGCACATCCCTGAACACTACGGGCAATTTAGCATGGCCAATCCACCTACGCTGCACATCTTTGGACTGTGAGAGGAAACCGGAGCACCCAGAGGAAACCCATGCAGAGAATGTGCAAACTCCACACAGACAGTCGCCCGAGGCTGGAATCGAACCCAGGTCCCTGGCGCTGTGAGGCAGCAGTGCTAACCACTGAGCCACCATGCTGTAAAGAGATTTGAAATGGAGCAGCAGAAACTAGAATTTCAGGAAAAAAAAAGAGGAAAGAGAGAGAAGTGGGAGAGGGAGAAAAAAGAGTAGAGAGTGAAGAGAGAGAATTTCAAGAAAAATGTGTGGAAAAGGAGTGTGAACTAAAACTGTTCAAGCTAAGCGGCCGGAACCCCAGACACCACTGGCTCAAACTGTTCATTTAACTTCTAGGTTTTCTTTCCAGCCAATATTACAGCAGTTAAATGGCCAGTCCAACATTGGCCTCAGCAGACTAACCTTTCAGGGAGAGCGTATGAAGTTTACTCCCTCTTGCTTGGGGAAAGTGTCACTGAATATGTAGCAGTAGAAAAGCTGATGTTAACTGTGCATCAGTTAGTGCCATAGCCATACCATCAAAACTTCCATACCTCAGGAAATGGCTTGACCAGACCTACTTGCTTTCGACCATGAGTGTATGGGCACTTATGTCACAAGCAAGTTATGAAAATCTCAACGAAATAATTCTCAGAAAGGAATTTAAACATTTCATACCCTTCCCAATTAAGGGTACAATTCAAGGAACAGAGAGTGACTGGGTCCAGGCAGGAAGCCACACAGGGTGGTAATTTGAAGTTTTTTTTAAATTCATTAAGGGGATGAGGGTGTCGCTGGCTAGGCCAGCATTTATTGTCCATCCCTAATTACCCAGAGGGCAGTTCAGAGTCAACCACATTGCTCTGGGTCTGGAGTCACATGTAGTCCAGACCAGGTAAGGATGGCAGTTTCCTTCTCTAAAGGACATTAGTGAACCCAGATGGGTTTTTCCTGACAATCAGCAATGGATTCACAATCATCATTAGACTCTTAATTCCAGATGTTTTTATTGGATTCAAGTTCCACTATCTGTCATGGTGGGATTCGAACCTGGACTTGATGGGCCAAACAGCCTGTTCCTGTACTGTCCGATTCTCTAATGCTATGATCTAGGAATCTCTCACTCTGCACGCTAGGAGCCAATTAGGTGGGTAACCTGTCAGAAGACAAGACAGAAGGGTTCTCTTGCTCTGAATGCTGCTAAGTAACCACCATTGAAAGGAAACAGCGTGAAAGGATATCAACTAACCTGTGAAAACTAAAATCCCAAAAATGCCTGTTCAACTGTCAACGCTTCACTGTCTACTTTTCCCGAGCTACCCAGAGAGATTGTCTGTTTATATCTTTTAAATTTTACCTTTTTCTCAGACCCACTTCCTATTCCCAATGTGTTTCCTCATGTAGAAACCAATAAACTCACATTTTTGTTAACTCAAGTAAGCCCGGTTAAATCGACTCTTTTATCGACTATTCATTTGGTCAGGGAGAAAGGCATTCGCAACAGAGGAATCCTTTTAAACCGAACCTTATCGTGACCGACTGAGGGAGCAGTGGGAATCAGTCCATTCCCAACACCCCACCCCGGAGCTTAACGATTTGGGGTATTTCCGTCTGAAAAGTTTGTAACTTGGGGAACCTCACATGGGGTTTGCTTGTGACAACCTGCATTTTCAGAAAGCTTTTTGCTTGTGAAAATGGTCTGTTGTGTTACCTACAATATGCCATTGACTACACTTCCAAATCACATAAGTACTTCCAGATGTTGGAAAAAAATACCGGATAAATACGGAGTCTTTCACTTCAAAGGCTCCAGGTCAAAGCTATAGGTTTATTACAGAGACACTGGATCAAACAATGACACAATGGATTTACTTACCATTGAGAAACAGTATGCATTGGGATTAAAGTCACTACCAAGAGCAACAATCACTCCAGCATCAAGCATGTCTCGGGCTCGTGGTGTTTTAAGCCTAGAAGCATTTTAGAAATGTAACTATCAACATGATTTTATACTGCATAAGATTTAAATCTCTTCCCAGTAATACTCTAACGTCCCCTCCAGTATTCTCTGACTTCAGTCTGCCATCCTGTCACCCCACCGTCAGAGGCTGAGAGTGTTGAACTTCCCTCCCCTGAAACCCTTTTGCCTCTCTCCTCCCCCTTCTCTTGCAGAGGATCTGCTCCCAAGGATATTTTCAGTCTCCCCTCCTAATATCTTCTTCTCTAGCTTGGTATCCAATTTGATGTGAATGTTCCTCCCAATCAAAGGCGATTTACAAATGCAAGTTGTTGTTGTAGCATACCAATCAACACAGTAGCATTTTTTTTCTTGTAGTGGTCAAGACCCATTCCTTTTTTGTGCTGTGTGATTGATGCCACACCATGTGTTTGGCTTCTTTATGGATTGATTGAGGAGATAGCAAAATCAAAGACTGTCTTCAGGCCTAAACATCACAGCATCCCTATTTATTTGATATTAATACCTAAATACTGCTGTACACAGAGATCATAGATACATCAGGCTCTGATCACATTCAATATCTGCTTTGTGTGGTCTTGTCCCTGTGACATGTTTACATAGGCAGGTCCCATTGTAAATGCTGACAAATCATACAATCCCTACAGTGTGGAAGCAGGCCATTTGGCCTATTGAGTTCACACTGACCCTCCGAAAAGCATCCCACTCAGGACCCCTCCACCCACCCCTGTAACCCTCCATTTCCCATGGCTAACCCACCTAGTCTGCACATCCCTCAACACTACAGACAACTTAGCACGGCCAATTCACCTAACCTGCACATCTTTGGATTGTGGGAGGAAACCCATGCAGACACGGGGAGAATGTGCAAACTCCACACAGTCACCCCCGAGGGTGGAATCGAACCCTGGCGCTGTGAGGCAGCAGTGCTAACCACTGAGCCACCGTGCCACCCACATAGTAATTGATTTGCGGAATCCACCCAAGACAAAAGTTACTGTTGACAGGAAACAACAGAATCAGGTTTTGAGAGAATGAGGCCTATGTCTAATGGAGGCCTGGGAGCTGGGGCTCCAGGCCAGAGAAACACTCTGAAGACTCTAGGACTCTGGGCATTCAGTAGGGCTGTGTGGGATTGTAGACGGTTACGGATTTTATGACCATGGAAGCTGGGCTTATATCAGAGTTATATACCTCTTGGTGCACACCAGCTCCCCCTTATAGGTTAAGTAACCTCTCATTAACCCCACGAAACAAACTCAGAGTTTCCACATGCCTGTTAAGGTCAGTGAGCTTTACCTCGACAGAGCGTTACGCTCTGCTTCATATTTAATATTTATCAGAGCCCGAGGAATGGCAAACATGAGCAAAACCTGTTTACTATGTGGACAAATATTGACTAAATAGCTCACCTATAACCCATGCAGTCTTAAACTCCTGATAAATTATCATCTCACGCAAACACTGCCAGAGGCAATAGAATGTACCTCAGTGCGCTGTGGCAATGTCCTCAGTCATGAGACAAATTTACATCACAAATAGTCCACAGACGCATACAGGCACACATACACAGGCACACACACACACACAGACACACATACACAGACACTACTTACACAGAGACATACTGATAGGCACATACATACACTTACACAGAGAAAAAGACAGATACACATGCACACATACTCACGGATAGATACATGCATGCACATTCACAGACACGCACAGACACATTCACAGACACACACATGCACACACATAGATCGACACACACACACACACACACACAGGTAAATACATGCATGCACAAACGCACACAGGTAGATACACGCACACACACACACACAGGTAGACACATACACGCACACACACAGGTAGACACACACACGCCCACGCATGCATGCATTCACAGGCAGATACATGCACGTAAAGGTAGATACATGCATGCACAGGTAGATACATGCACGTGCACACTCACAGGTAGATACACACTTGCATGCATACACACGCACTT